GCTGTATTTAACAGTCATATTTGCTCATTTCATATAGGGTGACCCAGGAATTGAAGGTCCCATTGGATATCCTGGTCCAAAAGTGAGTAATATTGAGTCTCTGCTTCTACATGAACAGTTACTTTTGTGGACTTAAGCTCCAAGAATCTCACAGTCAGCACTGCTAGCAGTCGTGCTGGCTATGAGATGCTCCCCATTACTTCTCTCCAATCTTCAATAAGAGGATGCCGTTTTTTAAAAATCAGTCCATCTTAACAACTCATCATAACTGGCTTATCTCTTTTTTCTGTGATGTTACAGAAGACCATAGCATTTGGCTCTGCAACACTCAGAACTGCAAGGAACATGGGAATGTGAGACAAACATTTACACGTTTACAGTGCAGGCACAGAGGTAGCCACCTGGCTCCTGGCAGGGAAGCAGGGCTGCTTACTAGCCAGGGCTTCCCTGCCAGGATTGTTGCCCCTGAGGATGGCACCTGCGGATCAGGACACTTCCTGTGGCAGCAGTGGCCACAGAAGCAGCAGGTAGGCCAGCAGAGTAATGGGGGGGACAGCAAGAAGGGGGGCAGACAGGAGATCCTGGTTTGCCAAAGCACATGAAATGCCATGGGGGACAAATGTCTGGCATTTCATTTTATTTCAGCAAAACAAGATCCCCAAAATCGGTAGGGAAATCAACCACGAACCAGCCCAGTATTTTATGTCATGTTATTCATTACATTTGTATCCCACCCATCTAGTGCCTGAGCACTATTCCGTTTGTTGGGTTTTTTGGTTTGTGGTCTGTTTCATGCCCATCTCTAATGCTAAGCAAATATCGCATTATGGTAACTGAATGCCATGCTGATGAAGAATCCATTCCATGATCCTGGTCCATAGGAGTTGTTCCCATATTGCTAACAAGAAGACCACCTTCAAGACCCAGACATAGGAAACAGTGAGTTGAGCATTGGGGACAGGGCAGTACATATCCAGTTCACTAGAATACCACAGCAAGATGTGGGACAGGGAGTGCATGTTGCAAATGTACACAAGACAGACAACATAAAGCAGGAGGAGCAGAAACATCAGATGACACAAGTGCCAGTTGAAGGTAACACAGAAATAATTGTTGCATCTCTTAAATGAAAGTTGGAGGGATTGAGTGAGTGAGTAATGAATGTACCAGATTGTTGCCGTTCTGCTTCAAAATGTACACAGAATAGCAAACCTAACTCTAAACACCTGAAATCCAAATAGCTCTGTGTAGCTAGGTGGGATGCCTATTCTTCCCATGTTGTGGGGTGATTTTTGTTGGGGCTGTAGCATAGAAGAAGAGTGTAAATACTTCCTTAATGCCTTCGCTGAAAGAGCCTATTTTATCTTGGCAAACTGTTCTATGTGCATTTTATTGTTTTTTGTAGAGCAAAGCAAAGCAAAGCGTGCTGCTTATATACCGCCCCATAGTGCTTCAAGCACTCTCTGGGCGGTTTACAAGTTAATTATGCAGGCTACACATTGCCCCCCCCCCCAAGTGAGCTGGGTACTCATTTTACCGACCTCGGAAAGACAGAAGGCTGAGTCAACCTTGAGCCGGCTACCTGGGATTGAACCCTGGGTCGTGAGCACAGTTTTGGCTGCAGTACAGCGGTTTAACCACTGCGCCACAAGGCTTCACGAAGTACTGATTAAATCTCTTCTTAGTTAAAGGTCTAAAGCACCTCTTACAGCTATGAAAAGTCCTACATTAGCTTCTCACCATAGTAATAAAAATCTAATTAATTAAAGCAGAGCCTGACTCATAGGGAGTCAGTTTTAGAAGAGGTGGAGTCAGTAATCCAAATATATCCAAATTGGAGTGCATAAAATCTGTATTTTTGTTGTTGTTTTTGTTCTTTTCTATTGGGTTTAGGTAAACCCCTTAAACTGTTAATTACTTTTAGAGGAGGTGGGACTGGTTTAAAATGATTTCTCAGTATAATGCTAATATCTGGATGTGTGGAAATTTTATTAAAATTTACTAACAATTTTTAAATTATTTAAAAATAAAGTCTTCAATCAGCAGCAATCTGCAAATGACAGTGTTCACATTGTTCAGGCAGTGCTATGCAACATGATTTTGTCCTGCATATCAAAACAAATACAGAATTTTAAATAAGTAGTACACTTATCAATTAAAATCAACATGTTTTCCCTTTCACAGGGTATTCGTGGCCTGAAAGGAGAAAAGGTAAAGTCTTCTATATATTACTTTCGGAAAATCTTGGGAAGTATGTTGTGTTTTTAAAAGCTTATAAAGGGATCATGGAGGGGGGCAGGTTGCTTCTTTTGAGAGCAGTAAAATGACATAATTACTGGAATGGACCCAATCATTGGGTCCATTCTAGGGCAGGCATTCCTACCTGCACTTCTGTCATGGTACAGGTAGGATCACTCTGGTTTGACTGTTTCCAACCCATGTGGTTGCTGGGAATGGACCAAATCCTAGGTTTTTGTCAGTATTGTGAACTTGATTAAGTAAGCCACTTCAGGATTTTGAGAAATCAGTCATCTTCTTGACTCCATGAAGGAGCCAAATAAGTGGGGGGGAAATTAAAATATGCATTTGACAGTGACTATTCACTGCATCACTTGAAATGGAAATCTTCTTCCTTGTAGGCATTTGTTTGCTTTGCTTTGCAAGGCCCAGGTGAGGGCCTGCCTGCAGGCACACACACTCTCCACTGGACTTTGAAAAGCAAAACAAACAAAAGCTTCTGAGAGGAAGCATTCCATTTAAAACGATACAATGAAGATCTGGTGTTGAATTAAAATTTGTTAAATTTGGTGTTAAGTTAAATTAAAAACTTAAATTTTTTTCACTTCCTTGTCTCTTCCATGGAGCTGAGGAAGTGGTTTATTTGCTAATACCATGAGGTGGATATCTTATAAAGCCACTTCATGAGATTAGTAAAGGCTGCTACGCACCATATAGGGTTGTTAGAGGTCTATATGCCATCTGGATGTGAGGATTGCACCAAGGTGGCATACTGTACCTCCTTATCAACCCTATTTAACACGATCAGGTCCACTCCAGCCAAGCCGTGTAGACTAGCCCTTTGTTACATGGAGGCACCTCAAAATCATCTGTATCTGAAGGATTTTGCAGAATATCAAAATCAGTCAGTAGATATGCATGCATTTGAAATAAAGGTTTGCTTATACTTACTTACTAAATTAAAGAACAATTTGAAATTCTGACAATTGCACGAATATAAACTAGGCTATCCAGGGCAGTTTCCAACGAATGCTTCTTCTTTGTAGCTCTATGAATCACACTCTGAGCGATCTGCACGTGCACGAAGCCTTTCCCATGTAGAGCGTGTGGAATTGTATGCATTTCTGTGGGGCCAATCAGTATAAGAACGCAGAGAACTTGGCATGTGGTTTTTGTAATATGGAATTCTACAGTGCAATCCGTTGGGACTCAGACAGTTTCTTCACAATCTACCAAGCCATTGTGTCAGCAGGCATTGACTCATTATGTTTCTTTGTCTTTTGTTTTTAACAGGGAGAGTTTGGAGGAGATGGAAGAAAGGTGAGTTCACATCTTTGAATGCTAGCCATGGTAACAGCTCTGTTCGTTTAGTGAAAGCGGTTTCTGATGTCCTGGCTCTGTTCTTTCAGGGTTCTGCTGGATTTGCAGGAAGGAATGGCACCCATGGACAAAAGGTACATTTGCTCAATGCAGTTTACATTTTGTTATATTGAAAGGTTGCCTTTTTAAAGGGGAAGTGAAAAATTGAGAGTAAGCTTTCAGTGCCATTCCAAAATGGAATACTGGATTCATGACTCTTTCCTTTCTCTTCACAACAGAATATTCAATGTAATAGTAGCCATCCTCTAAATCGCTTTTTCCCAAGTCCTGACATGCTGCCGCTGTCCTTTCAACTTATATACCACCCCATAGGGCTAGAGCACGCTCTGGGTGGTTTATAACATTTTACTCGTTAGCAATTGAGTTCTCATTTTACCAGTCTCAAAAGGATAGAAAGCTGAGTCAGCCTTGAGCCAGCTACCTGGACCCCATAGAATCAAATTCAGGTTGTGATGAGCAAAGGGTTGACTGCAGTGTAACTACTGCACCACAAGGCCCTTGTTAACATCCACATCTTATTCTAGTTATTGACTTATGGACAAGAAGTAGAGCTGACTGAAGTGTCACAACAAAGTGTTATTTTGGCACAGCACCACACTCCACAACTTTTTATGTCTTCATTTAACACTCTCCTCCCTCCTTACAGTAGTGCAGGACACTACTTAAGCGTTGAGATAGACAATACTTTTACCATATCATTTTGCAGAAGTGTACCCCTTAGTGGTGAAAGCATGTCTGTATAGCATGTTAATTTTTGTCTGTGTACCTTGCATTTTGCATTTTTTTTTGTTCTGTGATTGGTATTGAGAAGTTAAACATGGGAATTTGCAAGTTAGATTCCTGAGACACGTAACTATGAGAAAGTCCTTGTGAGAAGGGAAGTTGGATAATTATGGGGAAATTAACCTTTCTCTTAAAGCCTGCTTTCACTTTTAGAATGCTTCCTCTCCAAAGAAAAATCTGCACAGGATTTTCCTGGAGGAAAAAAATGAATTTCCCTCATTTAATAATAACCATGATCTTGTTCCTCTCTGTTTTATAATTTTTCCAGGGCAAACTGGGACGGATTGGACCTCCTGGCTGTAAGGGGGACCCAGGTGAAAGGGTAAGAAGTTTAGCCTTATAGAGGTGGGGCTTGAGGGAAGGGAAATCTTTGTTTTAAAAAATAGGATGACCTGGTCATTTTTTTGTCTAGTCACACATCCTGTTTCTGTTGCTTGTACTTTATGTTCTGAATCCTGTGCCATATGCTTAGGTTACAAGTGATTCTTTCTTCCTAGGGTCCTGATGGTTACCCCGGAAGTGCAGGAGATCAAGGATTACCAGGGGATGAAGGGATGAAGGTCTGTACCATTCTTTAAAGGGATCAAATGAAAGCCAATGAAAGTAAGCTACAGGTGTTGGGAAACTCATTAAATCATAGAATCATAGAATCATTGATTTTCTGGATCCATTTCAATCGGGTTTCAGGCCTGGTTTTGGTACAGAGACTGCCTTGGTTGCCCTGTATGATGACCTTTGCCGGGAGAGAGACAGGGGGAGTGTGACCCTGTTGATACTCCTGGACCTCTCAGCGGCTTTCGACACCATCGACCATGGTGTTCTTCTGGATAGGCTGGCTGGGATGGGAGTTGGGGGCACTGCTTTACGGTGGTTCCACTCCTTCCTGGCTGACCGTGTCCAGAGGGTGGTGCTGGGGGACAGTTGCTCTGCCCCATGGCGTTTATATCAAGGGGTTCCTCAGAGCTCAATACTGTCCCCCATGCTGTTTAACATCTACATGAAACCACTGGGAGAGGTCATCAGGAGGTTTGGGCTGAGGAGCCAGCAATATGCTGACGATACTCAGCTCTACCTCTCGTTTTCCACGAATCCAGGTGAGGCGGTTTCTGTGCTGAACTCGTGTCTGGACCTGATAATGGACTGGATGAGGGTTAATAAATTGCAACTCAATCCAGACAAGATGGAAGTGCTGTTAGTTGGTGCTTCACCGGACAGGTTGGAGGGCCATTTCCCTGCCCTGAATGGGGTTACACTCCCCCTAAGGGACAGGGTCCGCAGCCTGGGGGT